TCTCAGCCATGGCTGCGAGGGAGAAGAGTCCAAAGGAAAAGGCAAACACAAATCAAAGAGGAAGGGGCAAAGGGACCCAGCTGCACCCATCCATCCATCTATCCCCTGCAGCAGCGCTCCCCTGGGAGGACGGGGCACCGCAGTGCAGCCTGGTGGGGCCCTGGGGATCCAGCGCCAGGTCCTCCTCCTTCCCTTCTGCCCCGTCATTCCACCCAGAGCCGTTCCAGATGGGCACAAGAGATCCAGTCCCAGGCTTTTCTTCACCTTCTTCAAGAAACTCTACCCAGAGCCCTTCCAGACGGGCACGGAAATCCAACGCCAGGCTCTCCTCCGCCTCCTGGGAGCTCTCTGCCGCGTTGTGCCTGGTGGGCACACGACCCCAGCTCCAGGCTGTCCTCCTTTCTCCCCTCTGGACACGACCCCAAGCCAGTCCAGGTGGGCAAAGAAATCCAGCTCCAGGTTTTTACTCTGCCGCTCCTGTAGGACCTGTGAGTGACATTGATAGCTCACATCTTTCACCTGGGACCAGGGCCTGGTAAAACCCGGCCTGGAGCATTTTCAAGGCCTCCCCGGGAAGTGGACTCTGGGTACCAGGGCTGCGTTGGGATGCCAGGGGACCCGCTTACGCCCTTGGACCCTGGAGAGTGCAGATGACGGCAGCTCCGCTCCGCTCCCAGATGATGCAAGTAACACACCCGCGGCAAACACAGACTATGTTCCAGAGCTGACGTTAGCTGCACAGGGCGGGATGGGGGGTGGGGGGCGGGGGGCACCGTGTAAAAGGGTTCCTGACGATGTTGTCTTACTCTGGAACAGCTGGACTCTGCGAGCGTTCCAGTCCTCCATATCTCACTCTGATCTGATCTGAGATGTTGCCTTCAGCAAACCTCATGGTGTCCGTCTGTATATATGTGCGCGACATGAGACGAAGAAATGGCCTGCTGCTCCAACCACGCGGCGCGTTTCCATTTCATTTTGATTTGGGGTTTTCTTTTGCATTGGCAGCCCTCCTCCCCGGCTGCCCCTCTGCTCCCCCTGGCTGGCAAGGGGCCACGGCACGGCTGGCACGGGGGGGGCGAGCCTCTGCAGGAGGAGGTGGCATGCTCTCCCCACGACCCTGCCCTCACAGCTTTGCCTGCCCCATGGCCACCGGCGGGTGCCACTGCTGCTGCTGGGCTGCTTCATCCCGTAGGGCGTGCTGAGCTACAGGCTGGGGAAGAGGAGCGTCCTGGCTCATACGGATGGTGCTTCGTGGGAAGCTTTTGCCCCTGGGCTCTCCCCCTCCTCCGGCCCTCACTTCCATTCCCTGTATTGAGGAACAGTCGCGCTGCTCCATCGAAGGCGCTGTCATGTCCGCACTGGTCTCGCTTGATAGAGGGCTTAGATCAGCTCATTCTCCCCTTGGTATCTTATGCTGCTCCCCCACTGCTTGGCCCAACTGGGCTCTAGTCCTCGCAGCCTCTCGTGCTGGTGATGTCTGATGTCTGCCCTTTTTTTTGTGCTGCTGCTCGTGCTGCAGAACAGCACAGCACTAGTAACCAGGGACCAAGCAGGGACCTCAGAGAGGCTGGTGGCTGGTTTAGGAGGAGGAGATCCTGCCCTGAGCAGCTAGCTCCACCCTTGCGGGCAGCGATGGTCTGATGTTGCCCACCCAGCAGGGACGCCTTGGGTTGTATGTGGTTGGGAGACCACCCGAGTGCCCTCCACATGTTGGAGGAAGAGGCATGGCGACAGCAAGCAAGATCTGAGCTCAGCCCCTGCATCGGATCAAAGGGGCCATCTCTCAGATGTGACATCAAACAGACTCCCTGCCCAGGGCGCTGCCTGCTAGAGCAGTAGCTTCCATCCACGGATCAGCCGTTGCCGTCACCCAGCTGCATTTCAGCAGCGGGCAAAGCGACAGGGGACGAATGGTGCTCTCCCTGAAGGCGGCACAGAGATGCCAGCCACTGAGCAGAGTAGACAGCGCAGCCTGGGGCATCCCTAGCGTGAGCCAGCCCAGCAGCAGCCTCTGCTGGCAGGGATGCAGGTGTGAAGGGCGAGGAGGTGACTCTTCTGGGACCGGACTGGGCGCTTCCAGCCAGCCCGCGTAGCTGCCCTTCCAACACCTGCATCCTAGCCTCCCCCTCGATAGAGAGCCCCGCCGTTTCCCAACTCCTTCCCTCCCTGCCACAGCTGCATCACCCGCCTGGATCGTGCACGGACATCCCATGCCGGTTCCCTGCTGTTGCTGGCTGCAGGGGCATTTGCACATCCCCATAACCTGTATCCCCACCCATTTTGCTTCCTCCCTGATTTGCTCCACGATGTCACAGCCCATAGCTTGTGACATCGATGCCCTCAATTGCTCCGTGATGTCAGTCCATCGTTTGTGACATCAGGAGAAGGATGCTGGCTGGGGGGGATCGTGACTGGTTTGTGCTGAATAAGGAGGAGCCCTGCCGGACTCCCCGAACAGGAGCTTTCTATAACCAGGCCCTTGGTGCTCCCCAGAGCCAGCCACACACCGAACAGGGCCGGGGCTCACCGAGGTGGCTGTTGAATGGATCTGAGGGTGCTGGGAGGCCTTCATGCAGCACAGCGCCGACCTAATGCATACGCTGGAAAGACTGACTCCATCTGGGGAGGAATATATATATATATATATATATATATATATATATATATAAAACATGTATAGCAAATATATGTGCTTTATAGATAAGGCTATATGATGTATATAGGTTTCCAACCGCACTTGGGTTGCAATACATGGTTGGAAGTGAGCCGTGACCCCCCTCCTCCCGCAAAGCCATCGCCTCACCGCCCCCGCCCCAAGCAGCCAAGGCAGGAGCCCTGTTTGTTGCCAGTCCACAACCCCGAGCCCAGCGCCACGCCGGGCCAAGCCAATTGCCAGTTGTGACCTGTTTGGTTGTGGTGCTTTCGCGCTTGTCACTGCTGCCGTGCGTTGCTTGCCATTTCATCCAGACCTTGCCCTCAAGGTTTGCTGGCCAAGAAATGTCTGTCGTTTCAGCAGCCGGCCTCGGCCCCCAGAAACCGCATCGACTCTCTGCGGCCTTGGCATCGCTGCCTGAAATCCTGGCTATTTTTAGTGGCATCTTGTACATATGACTGTAAAATGGTAAACTGTGTGTATTATATATTGCCTCATTATATAGTGTATATATATGTATACATATACATATATATAATATATATGAAGACTGTAAATGTTAAGACTAGTGTTCTTATTAGTATATTGCTTCACACTGAAGATTGTGTGTAACAAGCTGTTTCTAAAAGATGTTTATTTTCCTTAAGAGTAAAAAACAGGTCATTGCATTCAAAAAAAAAAAAAAAGGTCAATAAAGATACGACGATTGTTTTGGAAGTACGTGGCTGCCTCCGCTTCGCCTGTGTTTCTCCAGCCCCGGGGAAGGACGACCATGAAGGACGCCGCGGCGGCTTGGTCCCAGGGCCAGCCCTTGCCGGCTGGTCACTGAGCGAGGGGGTCTCTCCCTTGCCCCGCTCGGCCTGTCCTGGCCATCAAATATTACCGCGTGCAATGGCTGGGGGTGGCGGGGGGGCGGCTGGCCCCTGCCCCGCTTCCCCTCCACAGTCTCCCTCGCCCGCCCTGTATAGGAGCGGGGGTCTGGAGCAGGGTCCAGCTTTTCCCACGCTTGGGGACGGGGCCCACGGAGCCCTGACCCCGACCGACATCTCGCTGTGATGTTCATCTCCGGTGGCAGCCATCATGGCCTAGACCAGGCGTCTCAACACAGCGAGGGGGTGGCCGTCCTTGCGTAGCTAGGCAGAGAGGGGGACAAGGCCAGGTGGACGTAACGGACTGGGTCAGCCTGCCGGTCCAGCAGGCCGCATCTCCCGGTGGCCATCGGAGAGGACAGCCCGGCCATCCTCGCTTGGTACGAAACCAGACGCCTTGCTGCCCTCTTGAAGAGAAAAATCGAGGACATCAAGGCATCAGGTTTCGTATCGATAGAGGACAGAGTAGCAGAAAACCGGACTGTCCTCTACGATGGCCGCGGATGCCAAAAGGGGACTGGTCCCATCCCTTCGTGAAGCTGGCGAAGCCGTCGGCCACAACGGCAGCTGCGAGTTGCACGCTTTGATTACGCCGTGTGAGAAAGAGCTTCCTCGTGTTAGCTTTAGCCTTGCTACCTCCTGGCTTCCTTTGGTGACCCCCTCGTTCTCCTATCGCGCAAGAAGAGTCAATAATAAATCCCTATTTTTCTCTTTACCGCTTAGTTTTCTGTAAACCCATCTCATGTCCCCCGGCCTCGAGCGTCTCTTCTAAACCGCCTCGTCCACCCTCCGTGCCACGAATCCTCCTCGGTGCCCTTCTCTGGTTCTCCTACGTCCCCTTGGAGCTGTGGGGACCAGACCTGGGCACAGGATTCAAGGTGCAGACGCACCATGGAGTTATGAATGGCACGACGATACTTTCCGTTTACACATCCCGACCGTCTGATCTGCTTTCTTGATGGCTGCAGAGCCCCGAGCTGATGTTTGCAGCCAACTGTCTGCAGGGGCGCCCGGCTCTGCTGCGTGATAGCAGCTCACGTACAGCCCATCATCGTGACTCCTCGGGTCGCTCCCAGGACCCCGGTTCCAGCCCCAGCCCTTCAGGAAGGGTGTTCACAACATGGCAACCCCTGCTTGCCTCAGTCCCACCAGCTCTAGCCCTGCTGGCAGTGGGCACAGCTTCTGGTCTTTGCAGAATGGGAAAGGGGAGCAGCCCCCCGGGCTCAGGTGGAGGGATGAGAGCCCCTGGCCAAGGTCTGGGGACACTGGCGTCCCCGTATCACCTCATATTGTATGTAAGCATAGGGAACAGGAGAGGTCTGGAGCGCTCCTCCGTCTCCCACTCCCATCAACCTGGGAGCCCAGCCCTGCCTGTCCCCTCCAGGCTGCGTGGGGCCTGGGGTAGCCAGCTCTTCTCTGCATTTCTCCCAGCTTTGGGGGCCACAGCTCGCCCGCCCCCACATTCAGCACACGCCGGGCTATAAATAATCGGCTTTAATCATCTGTACAAAACTCTCAAACTATGAAAATACCATTTAAAAAGGAAACGCAGGCAGTGAGCAGGGCGAGGGGGGAATCGCGCTTGGGGGAGGCGGTGGCTATGTACAGGGCCTGTATGTGGCTGCCGGCCACGTCTCCCACCCAAACGGGGCCAATTCCCTGCACCCCCAGCCCCCTCCATCACTACCAGTCTAAGTGCCATAGCAACAGCAGCCCTCTGCAAACACAAACGTGGCCCAGGATGCCAGCCAGAGTAGGAAGGGGTTGTGGCTGGCACAGGGAGGAAGAGGGGACAAATCTGGGGCCAGTGACTGCTACCCTGAGCCAGTCATGCCTACCCCTACCTCATTCCCTGAGCCCCTTAGGGTTGATGCCTGGCCCCAGCTCCATGCTCGGAGGGGAACAGGTGCCAGCAGGAAGAACCAGACCCCTTCCCCCAGGAGTCTCTAGGGCTGTGGGAGCAGGGGTACGAGTGGCTGTGCAGTCCCTGGAGATGGCTCGGCCAGGACACACTTTTTGGTATCATCTTGCCCCCTCTGCCACAGAGGCCCTGGAAAAGCCACCAGTCTCCTGCATCCACACAGGGAGATGCCACGTGCATGTGCCAAGGAGGCGCTGGGTGACCAAGGCCCTGCCTCGCGGGGCTACTTTTCTGCTTAAATACTGGGGTGCACCCCAGCAACAGCAACGCTGGAAGCCAGTGTGGGGAAATGTCTGGCAGCAGCAGGGACCTGTGGAGGGAGGCTGCAGCATGGTCCTGCAACCAGGCCCAGGGCGGAGGGGAAGGGCTGGAAGGAGCCAGTGCTTGCAATATTAAGAAGGTGCCGCTAGAGGTCTCCACTGCCCCGTGCCCACCGGACAGGGCTCACAGCAGGGGGGCATGGAGGTGGGGGCTGGCGTCACCGCTGGAGGGGCAGCGGGGAATCGGCGACCCCCAGGCACTGCTGGTCTGTCTCCCAGCACCAGGCACGAGGCCTGGGCATCGGAGCCCAGCCAGGGGTGCCCACATGTCCCAAAGCCACATAAACCATGAAGCATTATCGCCCTGTTCATGCTGACACCTGAGGGGAGGTGGGAGATCACCTTTAGAGGCAGGGGCAGGCTGGGCTCCCATTTGTGGGGGCAAGGGCCAGTCCTCAGCCACCAGAGACACCTGCCAGTACCCACCTTTCCCAACTGCCCCTAGGGTCCCTTCGGCTGGTCATAACACTAGTTCTGTAACACCATCCCACCAGGCCTCCTGCCCCACCTCACAGACAGGTAGGTACCCCCTGAGGTAGGGAAGGGTCTACACCCACATAGAGGCTGGGGCACACACACAGGTGCCTGAGTATCAGGAATACAACCCAAGAGTCCTGGGTCCCAGCCCCCTTGCTCCAGCCCCTCCCACTAGTCATAACGAATGCCTCAGGCAATTAAGCAAGGGCACATTGGCCACAGTGCAGCTGAAGCCTCTGTACCCATCCCCATGGTCCATGGCATGTGGGGTGCCCCATGGGGGGGTGGCGCTATCCAGTGGTGACTGTGGTGCCGCTGCCCAGTTTGATGATCATCTGCTGGCAGTCGTGGAGCGTCCGTTTGTCTCCCAGCTTCTCCAGCGTGTGGGCGGCCTCTGCCAGCATGCCCACGCGCTGCCCCGGGGCCGATAGGAAGCTCGGCGGGAGGTAGCAGCAGGCCAGGAGCAGGGCTTCGGCATGCTCACGCGGCGTGGGATGGCTTTCTGGCTCGCCAGCTGCAAAAGTGGAACACAGGGCCCTTCCTGGGCTGAGCACAGACAGGCTCTGATGTGAACAGGGCCCCCTTGATAGGCATCCAGGGGTCAGGGCCTGTGGGGGGCACCAGCCCCCACAGTGCTGGGCACCAACACAGATCTGGGTATTCCCAGGCCCTTTACCCATGTTCATCAGGCTGCACTAAGAACCTGCGGGCATCCCTGCTAATCTCCCTATATCCTCATGCAGTCCCCTCACTCCTGGTTGCCCGCAGGTGCCTTAGCAGTAGCCTTGCCTGTCACACCCTGGGAACAGAGCTAATCCCTGCCTACGGGGCCAGAAACATGTGCCCTTATGCCAGGGAGGAGGCTGCAAGGCTCAGCCCAGCTGCTGCCCTAGCAGCGAGCACTGGCACTGTAGGACAGTGAGGCACGGGCATGCAGCCCCCTGCTCCCGCTGGCTGCTCTCCCAGTCTGTGCCCTGACTAGCTGGGCTGCTCCGTGTCATGGAGTTGCTGGGTCTTGGCCCCAGGTGCCAGGCTGCCCACTCACCTCCTTTGCTGCTTTGTGTCCCCCTCCTACGCAGGCTGCGATCCAGCAACTGATGGGTCCTGGTGGGGCTGGCTCTGGCCATCAGCCTGGCGGTGGCTTCATGGAGGAACACCTGAGGGCAACCCACAGGAGGAATCAGTGCCTGGGCACCCGCCGCAGAATCATAAAGGGGGGCTGGAAGGGGCCTCCAGAGGTCACACCTAATGCAACCCCCTGCCTGAAGCAGGATCAGTCCTCCCCAAACAATCCCGGACAAATCCGTTGTCTAAGTTCTTAGCAAAACCGCAGAGTCGACCCTGACGCGACCCAAGACATAACACCCAAACCCACCACGGGTAAAGCAGGGCGACCACGGCAGCCAACATCCTGCTGCTGCAAAAGTTAATATATGCTCAAGAGATCCCCCAACCCCCCCACGGGAAAAGCAGGGCACCCACGGCAGCCAACATCCTGCTGCTGCAAAAGTTAATATATGCTCAAGAGATCCCAGGCAGAGGCCACAGCTCCGCTACAGATGAAGGCAAAAATCCCCCCTGCCCATAACAGTCTGACTAGGGGATAAGAGTCCTGCCTGACCCCAAATTTGTCATCAGTCCCACCCTGAGCGGAAGGGGCAAGACCCTCTAGCCAGGAACCCCTGGGTTCAAGCGCCAGCATGGGCACAGCCCAGGCAAAATCCCGGGCTTTGGCTGCTGCCAACAACTAATGCTTCTGAGGAAGGCAAAACCACAAACGCTGACACGTGTAGCAGCAGGAGGGGAAAAATAAGTCCTTCCTGGCCCCATGTGGCAACCGGCAAAGCCCAGAAGCCTGGGAAGGACCCATAGTGGGACAGCCGGTCCCAACACAGCTCCAGGCCAGCTGGAAAGCAGACTCTCCCTCACAGAGGGGAGAGTCAGGCAGTCAAAGAGCTAAGCCCCCCCCACGCCACCCCGGGCTCACCCTGCGCATGGCCGGGCGGAAGGTGTGGGCCAGGCGTCGCAGGCTGCTGAGGTCCTGCTGGAAGCCCCGCAGCTCCAGGGCCGAGGCCTGGTAGACACAGCTCAGCTGCTGGCTCACGTTCATCTGCTGCTGCCACAGGTTGGTGCGGGTCACCAGGAGCAGGTCGCACAGGAGGAGCTGGACCGCCTGGGGCAGAGGGGGCACGGTGAGGTGGGCAGACGTCCACAGACAGATGGACAGGCAGGGCACGGGCAGCCTCATGAGCAGGAGAAAAGGCCGTGCCCTGGTGAGCTGCCAGCTGTGGGGCACAGGGCTCCAGGGAGACAGGGCTTTGGCCCCACCGTTGCAAACAGAACCCAGCTGGTCCCTCAGGGATGCCCCCTGGCCAGGGCGGGGGAATTAGGGTTCAGCTGGGCTGCAGGACTGGGCCAGGCTGGCGCGTGGTGCTGGGAGGAGCCTCCTCTGGGCTGCACTGCAGAGGCATTGCACACCTCTGTGACACATGCAATGCAACTACAATGCACCACAGCTGAGGCCACTGCACTGCGCTGTCCCGTCCTCGTGCCCTGTATGTAGCTTCCTGGGGCTGTCCAGACACAGGACTTTGGATGCATGCTGGCTTTGGATTCCCTACCAGGCTGTGCACTCTGCCCCCAAGGTGGCTTCCTCCCAGGGGCAGGGATGACGCACCGTGTGCTACGTGGATTGTGCAATTACTGCTAAGAACATGCCTGATAGGCCTGGCCTGGCCTTGCTGACCACCCCTTGCCATCCCACCCACCCTGCTGTGCTATGCCAGGCAGCACCCAGGGACTCACCTTGTCCAAGGTGCCCTTGGCGGGCGAGCCGAGGTCCAGGCTGTCACGCAGGTAGCCGCTGGCCTTCTCGCACTGGCTCAGGCTGGCCTGGCTGCCGTCCTGCTTGCCTAGCAGGGCACGCACAGCCTTGAAGGCGTGCAGGGCTGCCCTGGGCAGGGGTTTCCTGCACACAGGGAACGGGAGGAGATGGTCAGGCCATGGCACCCATGGGCTGGGGCTTCCCCCAGTGGAGGGCACCTGCTCTGCCTGGCACAGCTGCCCAGGCCCCAAGCTGCTGAGCACACTGGCCCTGGCCCCTAGCTTCTGGTGATGTGTGATAAGGGAAGTAAAGCATGTCACTATGGCTCTCCCCCCACCCATACCCACAGTAAGTTTTCCTGGCAGAGCCACTGCTGCCCCAAGGAGGCACTGTCTGCCTCCCACTGGCAACCCCCAGCCGACACTCACTCAGAGCCCTGCAGAGCTCGCGGCATGGTCTCCACCAAAGGGTACAGCCGCTCTGCCGCCTCGTCGTCCCCCTGCAGCCAGTGAATTGCCACGGTGATGATGGACGCCCACCACTTGGCAATGGGGTCGGTGCCTGCGGGCAGGGACACAGTATCGATGGCATCCCCTAACAACTGCTGCTAGGAAACTGCCGCAACCCACCCCCCACAGGACTCCCATGCCCCACACAGCTTCCCCCACTGAAGCCAACCAAGATGCTAGCTCTGCCCTGCACAACAGGATCCAGCGATCCCCCAACCCCACACAGCCTCACCCCAATGACTGGAAACCAAGATAACACCTCTGCCCCCAAACACCACCACCCATGGACCACATGCCCCTGACACCCAGCTGCTGTTGCTGCTCCCAGCCGGGCCCCATAACTCATGCCAGGCTCCGGACTGAACCCCACGGCTCTCACAGTGTTGTGGCCCCCACCCCAGCCCCGTGTCTCAGTGGTGGTCTCCCCTGTGCCGGCAGCCATGTCAGAGCTGATGGAGAGGGTGCGGCTGGGTGTGCCGGCCGCATCTGAGCAGCCATTGAGCAGCTGGAGGTACTCGAGGGCGTCGGAGAACTGCCTGGGGCCAGCAAGGAGAGGAGCCGTTAGCAGCAGCAGACGGGCACAGAACATAGCAGACCGCCCAGGGACGCCTACCCAGCTCCCTCCCTGCAAGTCGGGGGTGCTCCAGGGGGCAAAGCCAAGGGTGGTGGCTTGGCAGGACAATACCAGGGGTCTGCAGGGAGGGGCAGGGGTAGAGGCCTCGCCTGGCACTTACCCCTCTCCTTGGGCGGCAGATGGGCTTGGCTCCGGCATTGCCACACAGCACAGCGCCTTCTCCAGCAAGTGCTCACGGAACAGTTGGGTGACCTGGGCCAGGGGGTCCACTGGGCCGGGGAAGCAGAGAGGCCCTATCAGATGAGCTGGGGGCCTAAGGGCAACCCCACGTCCCTCTCCTCTGAGCACAGCACCTCCCTGCAAGACCATCCCGCCGAGAGCGGGGAGTGGACAGTGCTCGGGGGCTCCGCCTCTATTGCAGGCACTGGGCCCCCAACAAGGACTCTCCATGCCCCAGAGCCTTTGCTACAACAGCACAGTGGGCCACAGCTGCAGTAGTGACCCAGGAGTAGCAGGTGCCCAGCTGGTACCTGGGATGCTCGGTGCCTCAAGCTGGGTCCTGTGAGAGGCCCGTGTTTGCGAAGACAAAGGCCCCAGCTCCTACATGCCAGGGCAGGGGTGCAGGGGGAGCCCAGGCCTGGCATGGCAGAGACATCTGTGGGGCTGGAACAGTGCAGGGAAGCAGGGGGTTGGGGGCCTCTGCTGAAGGGCACTGGCGAAGGGGGTGGAGACCCCAGAGCCTGGGCAGAGGGGTACTGGCAGACAGGAGTGAAAGGGGACACAGCTCTGGCAATCATGGCAAGGAGCAGCCAAGCATCAGGGGATCTCCTGGTATTGGGCTTATGTGCAGCACAGGGCTGTGGGGCGGGGGTACCTGGGTTGCTGGTGGAACTGTAGATGCTGTCCCTCGGCGTGCTCTTCACTGACCAGTCCCCATCAACAAAAAAGCGGTGGCCCAGGGGGTGGCAGAGCCACTGCATGGCGGGGGGCACAGTGCCGCTGTGCGAGAGGGACACCTGCCGGGCGCTGCACAGGAAGGGGCGCTGTGGGGGGGACAGACACAGGTCAGCCCTGTCAGGAGGGCAGGGGCCAAGCAGCCTCTCCCAAGAGATGGCACCCAGCAGCCAGATGGTGCTGTCTGGAAGGGGGAAATGCCTGGCATGGGCTGACAGCGAGCTGCAGAGCTGAGCAGGGAGGTGCTCCAGGAAGACACGGGCACACAGTGGGATGGTGCCCCTTGCAGAGCCCTCTGGGACAGGACTGCGGGCACAAGTGGGTGTCTGCAGCGCGGGATGATGGCAGGGGCAGAGCACAGAGAAGCTGTGTGCCTCCTCCCTCCATGACTCACCGCCAGGAAGTGGAAGCACCGGTGGAGGCTGGTTTTGATCCGGAGTGCAGCTGCCACGTAGATCTCGGCTAGCGTGGCCACAGAGATGGAGTCACCGGCGCACTCAGCCAGGTTGACAGCGCTCAGCGCCATGTTGATGGCCAGGAGGTGGCCTCCTGCATGCTTCCCTGGAGGAGGCAGGCAGGGAGCCATCAGCCCCAGGTTTGGGTCCGGGGGGCTCCCAGGATCTCAGCCTCTGGGGCGGGCCTGGCCCAGCAGCATCAGGTCACTGGTAGGGAGCAGAGGCTCCCCAGCTCCCCGGGGACCCTGGCTGGGGCTACGGTCAGGACTGAGGACATTGGTCCAGCTGGGCACTGAGCCAGCCCTCCAGCCCAGCCCCCACAGTGCCAAACCCCCCTGCCCATCCCCGTTCCAGCTCTCTCCAGTCCCCGCCGGTCCCCTGACCTGTCATGTGGAGCTGGTGCAGCTTGTGGTAGACGAGGGCAGCGTCGCGGGCACTCTTGCGCACATCGGCCTTCAACTCATGGTCGCGCCGGAAGCCGCCAGCCCGGGCCGCCAGCCAGCGGCCCACCCAGAGGCGCTGCAGCACGTGGCGGATGAGGTTCCACATCAGGCTGCAGGACAGGTCCACCTTAGAGGTGGGCAACGGGCGGCCCAGTGCCTTCAGCGCCGTCCACAGGTGCTGCGAGGCCTGAGCAAAGTCCCCCTGTCAAGGCAGACGGGCATGCAGGGGGTTAGCGAATGCTGGGGGATGCACAGGGGGCTTTGGGCAAGTGGAGACAGGGTCTTGCTATCTGGCAGGGAGGGGTGGGGCTTTGCCAGGTGAAAATGGGCCACCAGATGGGCATCTGGAAGGAGAAATCAGGCCTGGGCAGCTCAGAGCAGCTGCATGGAGTTGCAGGGTGGAGCTGGGAGCCCAGAGACAGCCACCATATACCACGACAGGGGTGGGCAGTGCTGCTCCTTACCCGGGCCAGGTCCAGGTCTGCCTGCCTGCGGTGCCGCCAGAAGAGGACGGAGGACTCCGAGTGGGGGCGGGTGACGGGCTCGCCGTAGATGAAGAGCCGGACGAAGGCAGCCAGCACTACCAGCACGTTCAGCAGCCAAAAGATCGGGGAGGGCAGGAGCCACGGAAACCAGCCCGAGGACTCCTCTGGGCACGAGGCAAAGAGAGGGAGAAAAGGGCTGGGTTACCAACGCATCACTGCTACTGCCTGCCCGTGGGGCCCAGACACCAGTCCCAGCAAGTACCCCCGGACCCATCCAGGGCCATGCCAGGACACAGTGCCATGGCCAACTCCCAGAGGTCTCTAGCTGTGGAGCAACCTGGATGCTGGCCCCAGAGCTTACCTATGGAGTCTGGCTGCCCCATGATGCTCCTGCCAGGGCCAGGGGGGCCTGAGCTCTCCGGGGTGGCCGGAGGTCCAACGCCCCTCAGGAGGGAGGCCAGGGGGTTGAAGGAGAGGCAGAGGAAGACGAAGGCGCAGAGCGCCATGCGGGAGCGATCCAGCATGCCCAGGCTGCTGGGGGACAGCGGGGGCTGCTCTTGCTTCACCTGGAAGCCAAGCAGAGCACGGGGTCAGCGCTGTGCAGGGCTGAAGGGGACACCATGGGGAGCATGCTGGTGTGGACAAGAGGTTCAGCCTCCCGAGGCATGGGGCAGGCGATAGCTGGACCTTCCCCAAGGGGAGAAGAGGACCCCCCTTGGGGGAGAGGCAGTGAAGGGCTCCACGCGTGGTGGCTTTTTGTCTCGAGCTCAGATGAAGTGATCTCAGCACAACTCAATGCCAGGACTCTTGAGGCCTTTTCTCAGTCGCTTGGGCAAGTCATGTGTGCCTTGGTTTCTCCACACTGAATGCAGAGATGGGCTGAGGCCCCCCCATGTTACCAGGAGAAGACAGCTGCAACAAGGGTCCCCACCCCCAGGGCAAACAGAGACGGTCTGGCCCAATGTCCCTGGAGCTCGGAGTCAGGATCTTCCCCGGCTGCGTCTTGCATCTGGTGCAGGACCTGGCTGCGGGTTTGCCCCCAACTTAGGTGTCTGCCCCCCACCCCAGCATCCTCCAGTCCAGGGTCCACCCCCACTGCTACCCACCCCGCCCTGTGGGACCTTGCTGTCATCGAAGAGCGGGCTCTCGGGCTCCGAGTCGCTGCTGCTGTTGCTGCTGCCACCGCTCAGTGAGAGGGGACTGCTGTGAGAGGGGGAGCCCATATCCGAGGGTGGTGGCGTCAACATTACGTCCATCATCTCCGGCTTGATGCCCTCCATGGGGGTGTCCACGCTTCCCCCAGCACCACACGTGGCCACCAGGTCCTTCAGGGACTCTAGGGGACAGAAAGGAGTGAGGCAGGGTGGTGTATATAGTTCCCCAGCACAGGCCAGGGGCAGAGCCAGTGCCAAGGGACAGTGCCCGCCCTGGATTCTAGGACGAGTCGGGGGTGTCGGGCTCATCCTCACCCCAGGCAGCACGGGCAGCGACCAGTCCAGGGGCCAAGGGGGAGAGTGGCTCTATGATGACTAGTCTGCTAGGAGCAGCGCCTGACTCGGACCCTCTGCCGCACGCCTGGCCCACACGCAGCACCCACGTGCCAACGCTGTTCTGGTCCCCATGGCACAGACCCGGCTGAGACCCAATTCACTATGCTCATGGGCTCCAACCCACCCTGCCCATAGCCCTCCAGTGCCCGTGCCCCCCATGCCCGCTGCCAGGGAGATGTCGCCTGGGGACTCACTGTTCTTCTGGGCAGCTAGCTTGAGCGCCAGGTTCTCCTGCTTCAGCTTCTGGTTGGTCTGCCGCAGGAAGCGGATGTAGTCAATCGCCTTCTTCAAGATCGCCGACTTATTCAGCTGTGGCGGGGGGAGAAGGAGGCTGCTCAGCCCCTGTCACTCATGGCCAACGCGGCCTGGGCAGGTCTAGAGTGGGCCCCAGCACCCCATGGAGGGAGAGGAGCCAGGGATGGAGAGCACCACGTACCCCTCTCACCTCACCTGGCTGAACCCAGTCTCCAGGCCCTGCCCCATGCCTACCTTGGCCTCGGTGCCCACCACCAGGTCCTTGAGCTCCACAATCTTGTCATTGATGGAGGAGCGGTACCGCTTCTCGATGGCATTGTGGGCCGTGCGCTTCTCCCCCCGGTTCTGTGCCAGGACTGGTTTCCCACTGGCCACCAGCCGGTTAATGGGCAGCTTGTCAGCATCCACCACCAGTGGTACAGTGGCCAGGATGGTGCCGTTGCTCACCAGGGTCTGCAGGGCAAGCAGGTATCTGCATCAGCGGCAGGCACGGGTCCTAGGGCTGGTACCCCCAAAGCTCCCTGTCCCCTGCTGTGTGAGCCCCTCGGTCCCTGCCTTCCCCTTGCCAATGTCCCTTCAGCCTGCTCCCACCCCGCAGTATCCCTGCCCTGAGCTCTACTTCCTGCAACCTCTGGTGATGCCCCCACCCAACACCAGCCTGCAGCCCCTTCCCAGTATCACTATCCAATGCTGCTCTGAAGCAGACACCAAAGGGCGCCCTGGGCTGGCAGCAGCAGAGGCGGCAGAGGACCCTGGCATTGCTGCCAGGGGAGGTCTGGCTGTGGGTGCAGACCTTGACTGCAACCAGCCCGGCTCTGTTAACCCCAGCTCTGGGCTGAGTCTGTGCCACGGGGGCTGCAGCTCTGCTCTCCCCTGTACCCAAGGGCTGGGGCTCTGCAGCTAACATGCATGGTGCCGAGAGGCGAGGAGCCGGACTAGCAGCCGAGGCATTTGGGCTCTATTCCCAGTTCTGCTGCCTACTTGCTCTGGAGGCGTAAGGGTAGGTTGGGATGGGAGGAGCGAGGAGAGGATCTCAGAGGCTCTACCTACCGGCACCTGCAGTGGGGTGGACTGGACAGCTGTGGTGGTGGCCAGCGACGTGATGCCAGAGGTCTTTGCCCCAGAGACGTCTGTCTTCACGGCGGTCAGGAGCAGGGAGTCAGCCTTGATGAAATGGTGCTGTAGCAGGACCTGTGGGGATTGGGGGTCAGCAAGGCCTTGGGGGGGGCCTGGCAGCACCAACTGTGCCTGCATCTCCCTGTCACCATTCCCCCTCCCCTAGCCCCAACCCCAGCTCACCGGGACTTGCTGAATGTGGGAGGAGATGGCTGGGGTGGCGCTGGGGGTGGTTGTGGCCATCAGCTGCTGGGGAGAAACGTTCTGGACCTGTGTCTGCAGGGCAATGGGCTGGAGCTGGGCAGGGGGGGGAGGCAGGCTCTGCCCGCTGCTGCCTGGCTGCACTGCTGGGGGCAGAGAAGAGAGGTTGGGCTGGACGGACCCCCTGGAAGGGGCTCTGCCACCCTGTGCTGCCCCAGCAGGCGCCAGGACTCCCCTGCTCCTTCCAAGCAGCCCAAAGCCCACCCCTCGGGGTCACCTCTCTTTCCAGGCTCTGGGAAGCCATGCCAGTTACCCACAACGGCCCCCCCACCAGGTACCATGCAAAGGGGCACCATTTTCCCCCAACCCCCTGTACACCAAGCTCCCTTAGGGCTTGCTAAACCCCTGCCTGCCTCATGATATTGAAGGTCCTACAAAACACTGGCTCCTTTCTTCCACCCTCCCCTCTGCCTCACCGGTGAAGCCGTGCTGGCTCTGGTAGCCCAACAGGGGCTGCTGGGGGAACTGCTGGGGCTGCTGAGGGGCCTGGACGAAGCTCTGGGCCATCATCACGCCCTGCTGTGCTGGGGGTGGGGGTTGGGGCTGGCTGGTGGGCGGCACCGCGGGCTCCTCCTTGACCCCC